CCCCCCCCCCCAATATTTGGCATAATAAAAAATAATTAAATAGTCCACTCCAACGTGCAGTGTGTTGATGATACAAAATAAACGTAGGAGTACACTCAAATAGAAAAAGACATCGCTGATCACTCCTCGCTTGCATTCACTTGTTTATTGGAGCAATTGCAAGTTTTGAAACTCTATTATCTCCCCTGAATAGCGTTTGCAGTGCCTTGCAAGTCATGCAAATAGCTTGCTCGCAAGGAACGTTTGGAATTTTTACGAACATTATTTTTAGTTTTTAATTCTTTTAGGAAATAGACTTGATAGGATTTAATCTTTATGTCCCAAATATTATTTACATCAGAGTTGCATCATAAATTGTACTCGGATTCAAACGACACAATGTCAATGACTTTATAAAAGTAAAAGCATATTGTGTATTGACCTATTGGGTTTACACTTTTACAGGTTCATTTAACTTTAAGTCTTTTAACTCTCTCAAGTCTCAACAGACAATCGGACATGCCAAATCCACTGATATGACAACTTCAAAAAACTTTTTTCGAAGCTAGAAATCATGATTTTTTTCAAATTTTTCCAGGGATACTTTGTTTTCTGCTCTCTAGACTCCCCCTCGCGGCTCTAGTGCTCCACCCCTAGAATATAGACCTTACTGGGGTTTGGTGACACTTTGTGTTGCTTCAGTCACCTGCTCACGGCTCACCCCCTAAAATTTCTGGCACCACCCCAGTAAAAAATATGAAAATTCGTCTATGCCGTCACTTATTTTTGTGTTCCTCTTTGATGCAGCTGTTAGTGAGCTGGTATTTGTCGCCATACACACGAAACCAGATGATGCAGTGAGGGAAGTTGACAAACTTGTTGATGTTTATGACGACGTCATTAAAAGATGGAAAATAAAGAATATCGTTATTATGGGTGATTTCAATGCAGCTTGTAGCTATGTTCGAGACACGGAGTGGAAAAACATACGTCTGGCAAATGATAAGCGATTTTGGTGGCTTATTGACGATTGCCAAGATACCACATTGAAAGGTTCAAGATGTGCTTATGACAGGTATTACCATACTATATTATATAAATTACCACAGTGAAAGGTTCAAGATGTGTTTATGATATCTATTACCATGCTAAACTACAACAGTGAAAGGTTCAAGATCCGCTCATGACATGTATATTACCATGCTATACTACCGCATGCAGTGAAAGGTTCAAGATGTGCTTATGACATGTGTATTATCATGCTATAATACGTACTACCACATTGAAATTAAAGGTTCAAGATGTTCTTATGACATGTGTTACCATGCTATAATACATATACTACCGCATACAACGTCATTTTCATAACGTTTTGCCAAAACGTCGAATGCCACTTTAAATCACGAAATCGAGATTTGGCTTTATACTTTTTCTGGGCAGACTAAACTCCGTCCAGTACGTTTTGTTCTGCCTAAAAAGATTTTACTTTATTTTACACTGTAATCTAGTACAGTTCAGTTGCACGAAGCCACGTATCTTTGTCTTTGATAGGAATATATGTTACCAAAAACAGGTCATTGCGTGTTTCGTGTTGTTTTTCAGTTACACAACAAAACGTCATGAAAGGTCCATGGAACATTCGCTGTTTGGTAATTCTTCCTATTGCATAAGAATGTTCCTTTTTTATAGTTACTCAACGCGATGGTATTTATAGAATGTACAGCTCAGTAACATTTACCATATCATTATAGTTTGAATCTCTTTTGCAAATAATTGCAGATTTTTTTAGATTTAAATTATGGTAACAAAGATCTTCTTTTATAATTCGTTCTGGTTCAAAGTACTAAATACCACAATCTTAACAATTTTTCAGGATTATTGCAACGGGCGATTATTTGTTGAAGAATATTGTTGGAGAAAGTCCAGGATTATTTGACTTCAAATCAGCTTATCAACTCAAAATGCAGGAGGTGCCTTTATATCCCATATATGCATGCATGTAGAATTCGTTTTCATATTAATTAAGAACAAAATTATACTAACACTAGACAATATGTTATAACATTACTGAATAATGTAGACGTTCAAAATCATAGTTTTTCCATTGGTATAGGCAGAAGATGTTAGTGATCATTTCCCAATTGAATTTCAAATTAAACACAAAGGTAAAAATAATATAAATAATATTTTCTAATATTAAGTAATACAAAATATCGTCACTATAGGCATAATTAAGACAGACAAAATGTTAAACAGGAACCATCGCAACATCTTTTTTAGTTTGTCCTGAAAACTTAGTTCAGGTAGTGGTGTATGAAATTCCTAATGTTGTTTTTGGCCTTTACTTTTCTAGAAAATCACTAATCAAAAGAATATGCATGAATACATGTGTTGCTTGTGCACATGCATGTAGGCGACAATAAAATACAGTAATTAACAGTTATTCTACGAACTCGAGTCGAATATGAGCTGATAGCTAGCCGATGAGGTGCGTATAGCGGTGAATCGGCTATCGCTCATATTCGGCGAGAGTGAGTGGAATAACTGTTTTATTATATACACAAGGTCTGAATTCACAGACTTTGCTTTTCGGATATTTTCAATATTTTTCTATTTTGTTTATGTTTTTATCTTCGCTTTTTCGGCCGATTATTTTTTCAAAAATATATGTTTTTAACCATTTAAATTTTAAAAATTCATTTGTTAACTTGTAAACAATTTGTGGGAGATTTTTCATTGTGTTTTGAATCCTGTAAAGGCTATAAAAAGCGAACAACTTGCCGTTTTCTCGTTCGCAAAACGTCGGAAATTCAGTTTGAGCCGCCATTTTGTTTTCCTCTACTATAGCAGGATATGAGCTAATATCCTGCTAGTAGAGAACCAATGAGATTGCAGAATACCTCATATCCAGACCTTGTGTATACAGCTATTTCAATTAAGGTTGTCCCCTAGCAAGTTCCCAGCAAGTCTTTCGCGCTCGTATTCGACTTTTCCGCTTTGCTCGGGGACAACCTTAATTGAAATAGCTGTGTAATAATAGCTATTATATTGCGCTTTCCAGACCACGTGTTATTGTATAGTACGCACTGAATCATTCAAAAATTGTTTCTTATCTACAGACTGGAAAGAACAAGAAACATTGGATTATGTTCTAAGAGGTGTCTTGCCTAGTGGCGGGAAGAACGCCGTGTATAAAGCATTACGTAACAATCGAAACATGCTGAGACCGATTTTCTATAAGAAAAGTGGTGGTATGGCCAGGATCATGTTTAGCACAACAAAAAACAACATTACATCAGCTATAACCTGTGTTCAAACGCTTCAGAGTACCTTTGCCAGCATTATGGGCGATATCCAAGCAAAGCAAGCTGAGAGATACCTGACGAGGCTTCAATCTCACGCTGATAAATATCCTTATCAAGTGTTTTCACACTATAAAAATATGATTGATGTTAACATCGGAATTCAATTGATATGGGACATAAACCAATCACCAGTAACATGTCGCCTGGTGATTTCGAAATATCTCTAAATAAACAATATATACAGTATGCTTCATAAAATGTATTCATTTGAAACATGATTGATGTATAAGATTGGAGTATTTGGAAAATTAAACAATCACGGGTTATATGTCGGCAAGTGTCTGATTTTAATGTTACGTATTATAAATGATTGTCTGGATCAAATATTCGTTTACTGCGGCTGCGCAAATTTCTGATTAGTTTTAGAAAATATACAGTCTGGAAATGATATATGTTTTAACGCCTCTTACCCCAATTTTTCAGGGTTCGTTCATGTCAGAGTGTGTCAAATTCAAGGACTTTCCAAGGACATTCAAGGCCATGTATCACCAGATTCAAAAACTAAATGCCAGGTTGGAGGGACAAAAAATACGGCAAAGGTCGCTTCGCGCGAGAAAATTCGCTAGTGGAAAACCGGCTTTACAGCGACAAATGCTGCAAAGATAGGAGTATCAAAAGATAAACGCAACCCGTGAAAGAACAATCAGCAAAACAACAGTAAAAAGGAGATAGGCTGCAAGTGGTCTGAAAGAAAGAGTTGCAGTTTCTTTGCCCATAAAAATCTCTTGCGCTTATGTTTAGGGCGCAGCACGGTTTAGAAACTGCAACTCTTCCTTTCAGACTACTTGCAGCCAATCTCCTTCTTATTGCTGTTTTGCTGATTGTTTTTTCTCGGTTTGCGTTAATTCAGGGTTGGATATTACCAGCAGTTGCAATTCTATTACACAAAGAAGTTATTTTTATGAATTGACCCTCTTGTGGTGTAGTACATCTTGGTCTCCCAGAAATTGGTCGGGTTGAATAGGATCTAGCTTTCTCGAACCTTTCTACGGTTCGATGCACATCACTTTTCGACACTCCTAATTGTAATATCCAAGCTTTATGAAATATATTATTATTAAGTTGTTTTTCAAATACAATAATATCAAGCTCGCCATGCTCTGTTCGCCATGCGGTCTAGCTTATGTCCGCGCAAACAATTGTTGTCTATATACGGTATGTGACGTTGACGTCATCATCACACTAATTTTGCAGCAATTTGTCGCTGCGGAGTAACCTTCGTTTCTTTAGAGCAATAATTTGTCCTCTAATTCCTTCGCTTAAATCTTTAGCTATCCTTGACGCACATTCGTGTAAAGAATTAAATAAACATATTATGGCAAAATTTATAAACGACAAAATGCGGGAGACAATTGCAGATCTCAATGCGCATGTTCAAGTAGCTAATGACAGTTTATTTTTCTATAGGATTCACGTTTCTCGATTTTTTTGGCAAAATTTGGGACTGGATACTTTTGACACTCACTGTATATGTAACAAAAATTTCCTGCGAAAATAATTTGTGAAAATTTCCTGGCAGCGGTGCTGCCGGAGATTTTCCAGCACTGGTCTTTGGGAAAAGGCTAATACACAGTTGTCCGCCGCTGTTCGGGAACAAAGATAAAACAGTGCAACTACTACATGTATTTAAAGATTTTATGAAAATTATAATTTTTACATGATTTAATGCCATTATATATAATATAAAACAATAGAATTACTATCAGGCATGTGTATGAGCGTTTTCTGCTGCCGTTTTTTTTGTCGCTAGAAAGGTTAATTGCATGCATGGCGTTTACGAGAACGGACCGATAACCGCAACCGGCAAACTCCAAATCGTATTTTGAGCTCGACTGTTTGTTATTCGAAGTTACTTCAAGTTAGGGTACGTAATTTGTGCATTTAAATTGAAGAATGAATTTGCTGTGGAAAACTTGTAGAACTTACCTTCAAATACGATTTGAAAAGTTTGCCGTTTTCGGTTCTGCCGTACACGTCAATCTTAACCTCTCTATTATTACTTTCTAGCAAGATACCTGGAAGAAAGTGTGGCAAATATGAATATGACGGAAGATAAAATTGATTCTTGAATACTGTACTGTATATCCATTTTTATCTTGGGCGTCAATAATTACAACCCGGCTGTTTTCAAAACTGACATAATGTAGTCATGCAATCATGGCAAGTGCTGTCTAAACACGGCAAATGCTATTTCGGCGGACTAAATTCCAAATAAGGTGGAGGCCGGCCAGAGGGTGGGGGCAATGGCCCCTAGTAAAAGCTCAATCTTCTTCTGAAAAACGCTAGTTGACTGCTTGTATGCATTCCTGATATAATTTAAGACTATACACTACTACATCCTGGAGGACGATGAATCATATTCGTACTATAAACAACTCAACATGATTATAGGAATTGGATTCATGTTGAGAATTCATGATTACATGAAAATATTCTTGGCCTAAAACTGTATTCCACTCGTATACAGTGTGAAATACAGCATGACAAAAAAATTGATCTCTTTTCTTTCAAATATTAAAAACCCACGCAGCGATAAACCCTTCAAAGTAATTTCTTTGACCGTACACAGCGCCGTAGCCCTACTCACATGAAATTATTGAAACCAAATTAAAGTTTTGGAATGGAGCGTGTACGCCAACTATAGTAAATACCTGGCGAGATTTCTAACGAAAATTTTTCACATGTCATCGAGTGAGTGGTTTCATGACACGACGTAATTTTGTAGGTTGTTGAGACATCACTGACAGACCATCTGGTGGGTAGCGACTGAAGTAGATTTCCGGATACGTCTTCTGAAACTGAAAGAAGATATTTCGCGGTGAACGTCAGCAGTGTAAGAGAGATGATTAGAGAGAACAAACTTGAAATCATATTTCAACAGGTAAGTTCCACAAGGTTTCGACAGCAATAGTCAATTCATGCTTCAGTTTTTATGCACAAATTGCCGTACTTCGAACAGCTAACAGTTTAATCTCAAAATAGTATTGGATGTTTGCCATTCCAATAACCTAACAGACATACCAGTTTGGTTATCAACAGCCAATGCAGACCTAGCTCTGGCCTAGGCCACTTAATCTTATCTTATTTCAGCGCTGTTTTAAAATAATACATTTTCGGCGCGACCTCTCCAAAATTAATCTGCAAATTTACCAAGTGGTGGCATCTGATAAATTGTAGACTGCCGAGTTCAAGCATACACACAAGCGTACTAGGCGCGGGGAGGGTGGCAAGTGGGCTGCAGCCCTCTGCCCCAGAAAAATTGAAGTTTGGCAAATTATAAAGTAACGTAAGTTGGCAAATTATACAATTATAAAGTAAGCAAACCATAAAGGCAACAAATATTTCAGATAATAGTCAAAAAGGAAAGAAATATGTCAGGTTTGCAAAAATTTGAACCCCATTCGAAAATTCCTCCCCCGTCGACAAGATTATGGGGATTTTATAACGAATTTGTTTTTATAAGTTGGGCAAAATGCAAAAGTTCGGGCAAATTTATTTATGGCATGGGTGGCCCCACCCCTAATTCTTTCCCTCCCGGGTCGATGCCACTGCTCTGGTCATTCAAGTGCACTAATACAATAGTCTCGTACGACAGAAACAACTGTGTAAGTACCACGAACCTGTTTTAGTTTTTTCTTGCGTTCCTTTTCATTTATTTTCTCATCGCGAACAATGCTATCAAGAAGATCCTCCAGAAATCTTTGTGTTCCAAATTGTTTTTGTTCTTCATATTCTTGTTTTGTGACTCGAAGACAAAATGCGACTTCTTTGCTGTGTCTTCCGTCCTAAATTCCAAAGGATATCAGAGAATGCTTGAGCGTACATCAGCGAGCCAGCCAACATTGATTGAGGAGTGAGGGCCCAAAACTATCTGGTTCTTTCAAATGACTCCGGTGCACGAGTATTTGCACTTTCTGTGACCTGCAGGGGTCGGTTGTTCAAACCTGGATTAGCGCTAACCCTGGGTTAAAATTTAACCCGCTGTTTTTAGTTTGGAAACATTTGCACTTCTGTTTATTTCAAAACTTTGAAAAATAAAACTTCTATTGATACAGACATGATTTGTGGAAAACTATCTTCATGTTTCTAAACAGACGTAGGATGGCTAAATTGACTTTTGCACAACCCGCCCTGTAGATCGCTATTTAATTCAGTAATTACAATTCAATTGACATGGTTTGTAAAGTTGTTGATTGAATTGAATTGAATTTATTAATAAAATATAGACTTTGCAACCATAAAGGTTGAAATACATCTATCATTTACAGGGTTGGTTGATTAGAATAACATTGTATATTTACAAAAAACGTATTTACTATAATATAGGAAGAGTTTAGAACTTGGCTAGTATGATATTACCATTATTTACAAATAAAAATGTATGTAATTTATAGTTACTCAATGTTTATTATAAATCGTTACAGACGAGGGAATGTACGAATTTTTGAAGCGATTTGTCCGACAATTAATTGGAACGAGTTTATTCGATGTGCGTAGATTGTAGCTTGGATGTTCGGCTGGTTCAACTAGTTCGGAAAGAGGACTAGTTTGCGGAAGAACCTTTTTTCTAAAAAAATTTGAACATAACAGTTCGCGCCTAGAATACAATGTTGGGATATTGAGATCTGATAAGGATTCTTTGTATGATGACGATGGGTTAATTATTTTCAACGCTCTTGACTGGATCCTTTCTATTTCTTTGGATAGGTATTCAGTTATGTTATAATGCCAAACTTGGGCGCAATACTCCAAAATGGGTCTTACACATGAAAAATACACTGATATCAATGTTTTAGTGTCACAACGAGCTCGCTTGAGGAGTCTAAGCATGTAATGGCGTTTTGCGGATTTTTTCACTATGTAAGCCACGTGGTCATTCCACTTTAGGTCGTCCTTGAAAATTAAGCCAAGGAGTTTAGCGGATTTCACCACTTCAATGGGCTGTTCGTCAACGATCATTGGAGGGAAATTTGGATTGTTTTTCCAAAAACAAACGAGGATTTCTTTGCATTTACGGGGGTTTAAGGACATGTTATTTCTTGCACACCACTGCATAATTCCTTCTAAAATAGTTTGAAAGTTCGAATCTTGGTTTCTAGGAAGGGTTTCTGAAACAGACGAATCGTCAACATATTTCCATCTATCGTCCCAATCAACCAACAAATCGTTTATCATAATCATAAATAGAATCGGACCTAAGACAGCGCCTTGTGGAACCCCACCGTTCACTGGTTCGAAACTTGAGGTGTATTTACCTATCTTCACTCGCTGTTTCCTGCCAGTAAGAAACTGTTTTACCCATGCGATAAGAACGGGATCGATGGCCATTTCCTCCATCTTCTTGATAATAATATGGTGATCAATCTTGTCGAAGGCTTTACTAAAGTCCAGAAGCAGTACACGCACACATTGGTCAGATTGGTCGGTAGTTCCATACAGATGATGAAAAAAGGATAGAAGAGCGTGAGTTGTAGATAAGCCGGCGAGTGATCCGAATTGCTTCCTATCAACGAGGTGTCTGATCTGTGACATAATCCACTCTGCGACAAAATGTTCCAAGGTTTTTGAGAGAATTGGTGTTAGAGATATTGGGCGTAGATCATTTTCAATTTCCTTAACCTTATCTGTTTTACGAATAGGTATTACATCTGCTTCTTTCTATGAAACGGGTACGACTCTCTCTTGGATCGACGCGTTAAAAATTTCAGCAACGGGTGATGAGAGTTCCATGGCAAACTCATTTAAGACCCAACTTGGTAAGTTGTCAGGACCCGAGGCTTTAGTGCGTTTGAGGTTGGAGAGCTTCGTAAAAACATCTTCAGGAGAAATGTGGTATTTTGAAATAATT